TTTTAGCATCTGCACTCTGCAGAATATTGGAAGACTTGTTCTATATTAAATTATCAGCGTATAAATAAACTGCACGATGCACAACACAGCCGCAAAAGCAATTTCAGCGGAACTCAAATTGCATAAAACCACATCGGAAGTCGCTTATCGTTAATGAACCATGCAGAGAAAGCGGAGATGATCATTAAGATCCACAGACTGGAAAACAGAACTAAAGAGATAACTTAAGGAGACACATAATTGGAAAAGCTCGAGTCTGCACTCATGAGTTCTCTCTCTCTCTCTCTCTCTTGAGTCTAAGTTGGTGGTGGTGAGTTTGGGGAGGGAGGATTTACAGATTTAATCATCATTGTTAACAGCTTATCGGTTAAGCTGGCCTAGCCCTAATCGAATTGTACCCCTAATCACCCCATGGGAAATAAATGTGGAGGATATCCCTTCTTGATGGTGCACTCAGCACTCAGCAGTGTGTACTTGCAGAGTTACAGATATTAGCAGACATGTCTGATTGCACTACAAATATGGTGAAAGCCAAAACAATTTATATATTGGTATTGCTGCAACCAGCAGTACAGTATTCATTTTCCCAAGCTATCCGAAAATTAGTAAATCGTTACAAATTACAGGGAATATTTGGAACAAAATTCGCAATTACTAATTACTATACAGCTGTTCCATAATGGAAGGTATGGTTAATTGTTTTACGTCAACTTTGCCCTTCAATAACATCTGTTGTTTTCGACAGATTGCAAATATTTTGGGATCAGTCCAAAAGAAGCTGCACTGAACTTGTTAAAGGGCTTCTCGCCAGCTAGCTTTTACAACTTTAAATATCTCGGAGGTTATTTATGGACCTTTTCTTCTCTGCTACTGTTTACAATGGAACACGATGTAATGTTTTCATCCCCGAATTTAAGACACTTAAAATTTGATCAGGGATATTTTGATATATTAAAATAAAGGGATCTAAACTGCGTCCAATAAAATGTAACAAAATCGTCAGGGTCTTCAGTTGAACCCCAGTACGTGTGCATGGGGGAGAAATCTAAATATTATCATAACGAGACAAAGTAAATTATAAGTATTCATCACATATTATGTACTTTAAACAATTAGTAAACCAGGAAATGTAGAATCACGAACTGCCAGGTCTAATGCGAACCCGTTATTCTCCAATCTATATTGTAGTTCCGGGTCCCGCATTTCAAAGGGCCGATACCCCAAAATCTCCAAAACAGTCAACAACCATCATTGTGATCATAAACCAGGATAGAAATTTATGAAGTTCATCATAGTTGTAACCAGGTACAGGGTGGTAAAATGCCATTTTCCTGAAAATATCCGGCCGTTTCAACTTATATTTTCTAACCAATCAGGTTGAAACCGTACAAAATGTTCATCATAATTGTTAACTTTGCATAACCTGCCCATTGTGCGAGTTTTGAGTACTTTTTTCACTTCGAGACGTCTCCAAATTCCAAATCTCGATGTTGGCGAGCCTGTATAATATATATATATTTATATATATTATATATGCTAGCTGCTAAATATGTTTGTACATTACATAGCATAGGATATTATGTTACATATCCAGCAACTACTTTTAGTAGCAGCTACTAGATTCTGTACAACTCAATTTATAATTTCGACTCAGCTTGCGATCAAGGAGTGATATAATATGATATATATGATATAATATATATTAATACATCCAATATTATATTATGATCATAATATTGTATTAGTTTACAAGCATTTGAATGTATATCATTATCAAGGCTTACTTCTTACCTTGCCCTTACTGGACTTTTACTGGTTCAATAATCACTACTGTAGATTTCTTTACCTCCACGTTTCTTGAAGTTGAGCCTGACTTCAAAATTCATGTCTATCGAAAATCAAATTATTACTATTTTTATTTTCCTTGGAATACTTTCGGATGCCAAACCAATGAATCTAGCATCAAATAATGATAAGAAGATCAAAATATGTTTCCCTCCACCCTACAGCACAAAATAGTGGGAATAATAATAAATATAGAGAATAGCAGTGTCCCCCTATAATATACTTTGACGACGCTATGACGTTTCGTAGGGACAGCGACTAATTGGATCGCAGTTCGTGTGGGAGGAATGGTTGATTTCGGAAGGTTCAAAATTCAAATGTAGGACCATATTCGGTCAGAAAAACAATATTGATCGCTGCCGAGTTTAAATTACCAGCGTGGTAGTGTCGGACACAACCGGGGGGTGATGTTTACTGCAGCCCACACAACCGGGGGTGATGTTTACTGCAGCCCACACAAACTATGTGCTCGAGATGTTGCTGTTTCTGGGGAGAAATCAGAGCAAATATTTAGTAATAACGCAATTCCAAGCTGCAACAAATGTGCCGCAATATAACTCACACCACCAGGGATCGGAATAATCTCATAGTGCCCCCACTATCAATGATAATAGCTTCCAATATGTCCAGCTTCTCTTTTCTGTAACACTATTAACATATTTACTGCGCTCTAACGCTCCACAATTTGTTTACCTCTCTCAACATGAGAGATCTGTAGAGCGAGAGAGAGCGCTGCTCCAGGGCCCCGGATCAGCGCTCTCTCTCGCTCTAGAGATCATCCGCACACCAGCAACTCCCAGCTACAGACATGTATGAATAATAAAATGACGTCAATAGAGCACCTGTATAACTCGTCACATCGCGACCTCCTATTGGCTGGAGCTGGTCACGTGGGCCTCTAATCGAGCCTTGATTGGACCGGAGGCGGAGCAATGTGTAATTAAAGCAACGTTGGCACATATGGTATAATAGCGCTGCAAAAGTTAGATGTGCAGCAGCTTACGCGTACAGAGTGAGAGAGAGAGAGAGAGAGAGAGAGAGAGAAAGAGAGAGAGAGAGAGAGAGAGAGAGAGAGAGAGAGAGAGAGAGAGAGAGAGAGAGAGAGAGAGAGAGAGAGAGAGAGAGAGAGAGAGAGAGAGAGAGAGAGAGAGAGAGAGAGAGAGAGAGAGAGAGAGAGAGAGAGAGAGAGAGAGAGAGAGAGAGAGAGAGAGAGAGAGAGAGAGAGAGAGAGAGAGAGAGAGAGAGAGAGAGAGAGAGAGAGAGAGAGAGAGAGAGAGAGAGAGAGAGAGAGAGAGAGAGAGAGAGAGAGAGAGAGAGAGAGAGAGAGAGAGAGAGAGAGTGCGAGAGAGAGTGAGAGAGAGAGAGAGAGAGAGAGTGTGAGAGAGAGAGAGAGAGAGAGAGAGAGAGAGAGAGAGAGAGAGAGAGAGAGAGAGAGAGAGAGGGGGAGTGCCGTGTTTTGCGGAGGTAGAGCTCTGGTATATTGGTCATGTGGGGTGGTCACAATATTGTGACTCAATGTTATAACGTGACTAGAGGAGATTTGGTTTGATATGACCAAGCAGCGGCCTGCACCCGAGTCTTGCATCGCAAGTTGGCAATTTCTCGACATTTTTTGCATAGTTTTGCAGCCATTCCACAAATCGTTCAACTTGTATGCCAGTAAAAGTCTGGAGAGGCACAACAGTATGCAGCGAACACTCGCCTGACAGAGTACAGATTGGCTCTTTCTTTGGTAATGTTCATCCGTACAGGCTGATGTTCTCATGACACAAATATTTTAGTAAGCTATGCATTGCCGTTCTTACGAGTATGGTGCACCATATAAATTAAGCTTATTACTAAAATGCAGCTACTAAAGTACTAAGGTAGGTACTGACTAGATCTTGTTGAAAACTTGGTACCCACATTCCGAGAATAAAATGGTGGTATTTTTGACAACTTGGGAGATCACTAGCATTTTCGACATCCACATTTTTAGATTTTCAAATGTATAATAGCGAAGAAGGTGAAACGTAAAAATGGCTGAAAGTTTCGTCATCCTCGAGATTTTTCCCATCAGAATTTCTAATCAGAATGACGGACATGGCTAAACATCTCACCACCTCACCACTCTTTGACATTTCTCAAATTTATGGCGAAAGATTACACCCTAACTCATTCTTAGCTAGTGATCAGTTATATAGACTAATGTTCCATAATATGGGCTGCAAACGAATATTTTTTGTAAGCTAAGCATGTTCTTGTAAAAAAGGTTAAAAGGAGCCCAAGCCCCAAATGGTTTATGACCTGTCCATCACAAAAAGCCATAATTATAATTTATTCCTCGACCTCAACAAACACCTTAAACAACTCATAGTGGCAGAAATATATTTAATAAGGAAGTCCCTTGTACCAACTAAAAAACGACCGTGGGTTATGATGCGGAGGTGATGCAAGCTTGTTTTGAAGCGTTACAACAGAGGTTTTGAGGTTTGATCGGTCGGCACTACAAGTAAATTGGCTAATAGCTGTCACGTGTTAAATCTGTACCACCCTTCAACTATTGCTAACCGTTATCATGTTCTCCATGTTAAATGAGCCATTTTAATGGTCACAAGGGCGGCACATGATTGATATACTACTCCTGTATTTAGCAATAGAATGATACATAGCTACTTGAATTGCTTTATCAACCGCAATTGTATTTGTTCTGTTGAATACAATTTTATGTTGTAAGATGTAATGTAATAACGCTAGCAGTAAATGTCATGTATTAATCTCATACAGTAACTGAAAATTAAACTTAGATGACAAAAATTGTGAATTTGTATGGTCAGTCGACGGTACATGTACATTTTTAATTTAACTCACATACAATTTGCAAACCATCAAAATATCTTTTTGCCAGATCTTTATATCTGTAAGCCCTTTTATGAGATAATTGTTGAGGAATCTTGCGACTTGGAATAACTTAGGAGATTGCCAAAAGAAAATAGCAATCTGTATATTGAGTAGAATCCGAGTTCATTAAATAACTCATAGAAAAACGTACAGGCAAACGTAAAGACAAAAGTACAGGCAAATGTACAGACCAACGTACAGGCAAATGTACAGACCAACGTACAGACAGACGAACAGACAGACGTACAGACATACGGACAAGTAAAAAGACTTACCAGATCTTTGAGAAGATCCATCACGTGTACCAGGCTCGTCTGTAAGAACTATCGGTTGGTTTTTGCTACCAAAGCCACCCGCCTCAGACCTTCTCAGCTGAAAACATAAGACAACGTATAACGAGAGTATTTATAGTTCAGAATCTGAAAAGTAAGCATTTAAATTACATTTAGTTTTTTAAAGCGATTGATGGCTTTTACAATAGATGTATAGGTAATTTATAGATTTACAGGTAGATTATATGCACTATACAGGTAGATTATAATATGAACTATATTATTTATTGAATTTTGTGGTCAAGATAATGTTTATTAAGAAATTAAAATTGGTATTTTATAATATAAATTAATTACACCAACCTCATGTGATCATTTAGGATGCTTATTGGTTTTACAAGCAGGACTAGTTTTATCAATATTATGCTTCCTTAATCCTTAGTGTAAAACAAAGCTAAGTATATTTAAACATATTTGTGCGTAAAAAAACTACCGTTTCTAAACAGCAGCATGGCTCACTTATACTTAAAATAGATTCACCGTCTAGAAAGAACGACCTCATTTAGCGTAAGTTTTGACCTAACTACACATTAACTTGTTTTGAAACATTTAAATAATGAGGTATTTACTATCTAGATGGATAATGTACATTATCATTCATTAATTTGTTCTCGCAGAAACATAATTTATTAAATCTTATGCTGTATTATATTACGTCCAAATCGTAAATTGCTCCTTTTAAATCGAGACATTGCAGTTTAAAGTGGCCATGGATATCAACCAAATGGATAGCTATTAGTATAGCTAACGCGAACGGCCATGCTATTTTTACGTCCATCATATCGCAAACATAATCTTATATAGCTGAATAGTTGAACATATCGAGACGCTACCGTTTAACGTGATGTATTTTAACCAAACTTGAATTTCATGAGCTATTTTAACGTACATCATTAATATTAAAAATAAACGTTTGAATAGTTTAATAGTTAAATAGTTTGATAAGCGTACCTCCATGGCGGGTGATAGCTCGTAAAAGTTAAAGACCCTAGGCGAGATGAGAGGTCTCTTGTCGGAGTAAGCCCTGGACGAGTGTGGTCTCTGATCGGCGTAGGTGACCCGTGGAGACCTAGGAGGAAGAGGCGGAGGAGGAGGAGGAGCTGTGTCTTGTCTCATAGGAGATACTTGAGACAGGGAGACTGAGGGAGGGGAGAGGGCGGCGCTTCCTGTTTCATCACCTGGACGGGAGGGAGTATCACTAACGTTTTATATAATATAATAATACCTCAGTGTAAGTTAATATCGCTATATAAATATATCACTATCGTGCGTGTTTTATGGGTAGTTTGATACAGACTACCCATAGTAATAACTAATAAAGTTTTGATTTGTTCACTAAGTTAAGCCATCACGAGCGGCATATAGGTTCAAAATAGGAGTTATTATCATCATATCATAACCATAGTTTAATACTAATGTCAATATCACGCATATTGATTTTCTGTTCTGACTTATTAGTAAGGGGAAAAGTGGTCGATTTAAGGGTTCCGTTGGATTTGAATGTTCACAAGGGTTTCTCAACGGAATATGGTAGTTAGGACCCCTACGAACATAATTAGACTTGTTGCCAATTTTGTATCTCAACAGAAACACCACTTTTACCACTTTTTACCACCTTTGTACCACCTTTCTGGTTTGCCAAATATCTTTAGTTGTGAACGTCGTAGAAGGCTGCAAATTAACCTAGAATGTTTATCTTATCAAGGAGTAAAACTTTTGTATGAAAAATTGTTACATTGGACAATCAGCTAATTGGATAATTACCAATTAGTTAATCACCAAAAAAAGTGAAAATTTTTTATTGGCTCAAAATGATTGAAATCGTTTGAAACACGGAGAAATGTAGTTTTTAGAAAAACTTCAAAAATTTTTCACTTAAAATTTTTTTTCGAGACTTGGAAAAAAGTTTGAAAATTTGAAAATATATTATTCCGCCAAAATTGATCGAATTGCATGAAACGTGGATAAAAATGCTTTGCAGAAAAACTTCGAAGATTTTTAGATTGGGGAATACTAAAATCATCAATATTTGAAGTTGGAGTTCAGTAAATCTCGACATATTTTATTAATTAAGAATAGCTTAGCGGAAAGGGCTGAACCCGAAAAAGGTTAACCACACAATATTAGAGTTTCATAACTAATTACAATACAGCTTTATCAAATTCCACATAAAGAAACAGCACAAAAGGACCATTTAAGATCGAACCGATTTTACCTGCTGTACTATCATTTTATTGATTTCAATGATCAAAACCTCTGTACCGTCAATCTTGCCAATCTATACCGGGTATCTGAATGTACCGGACCTCTTATTTACCTCTATGATTAGACACAGTTGTGCAAGAAATGCGATTTCTCACAGGGGTTTCTTTTAACTGTGCACTTTTTGTCACTCTCGCAAGAGGCCCGGTATTATAGGGGGGTATAGGAAGCGAGTGTAAATCTACCTTTCATCATCCACTGTGATGAAACACGGGGTTTCATTGGAGTTGGTTATTTTAATGGCCAAAGAGTGCCGGAACTAAAGTTACTTAAGATTGCAGTTGAGGGGCAGTGTAAACCACGGTGTAGTCAGGGATACAGAGCTACAGTGCAGGAGTATAACTGCAAAAGAACAGTGCAAGTGATACAGTCTGCAACAGTAAAACGCCGAAGAAGGAGATAAGATTGTGGCTGCAGAGGAGGAGAGGAGCTGGAACCTGATTGTGTTTGGGTTGAAAGAAGAGGAGGAAGAAGAGTTTCCTGCTCTAGTAACTGCATTTTTGGAAGAGGTGGGGTGAGAACTTATTTTCGTGTAGCTACGTTCTGCTACATCCATGCTAGCACCACCTAGCTACCACCAGTTTACTCTAAATCTAGCTATTTCTAGCAACCTCTCGATGCTATCTCCAGCTCTATCCCGACCCTGGCAATATGATATGAGGGTTATTTGAGGTATCTGGATTCTGGCATAGCAAACGAAGCGGCATGCGCATTCACAATACAAAAAAGCCACAGTGGATGATGAAAGGTAGATTTACACTCGCTTCCTATACCCCCCTATAATACCGGGCCTCTTGCGAGAGTGACAAAAAGTGCACAGTTAAAAGAAACCCCTGTGAGAAATCGCATTTCTTGCACAACTGTGTCTAATCATAGAGGTAAATAAGAGGTCCGGTACATTCAGATACCCGGTATAGATTGGCAAGATTGACGGTACAGAGGTTTTGATCATTGAAATCAATAAAATGATAGTACAGCAGGTAAAATCGGTTCGATCTTAAATGGTCCTTTTGTGCTGTTTCTTTATGTGGAATTTGATAAAGCTGTATTGTAATTAGTTATGAAACTCTAATATTGTGTGGTTAACCTTTTTCGGGTTCAGCCCTTTCCGCTAAGCTATTCTTAATTAATAAAATATGTCGAGATTTACTGAACTCCAACTTCAAATATTGATGATTTTAGTATTCCCCAATCTAAAAATCTTCGAAGTTTTTCTGCAAAGCATTTTTATCCACGTTTCATGCAATTCGATCAATTTTGGCGGAATAATATATTTTCAAATTTTCAAACTTTTTTCCAAGTCTCGAAAAAAAATTTTAAGTGAAAAATTTTTGAAGTTTTTCTAAAAACTACATTTCTCCGTGTTTCAAACGATTTCAATCATTTTGAGCCAATAAAAAATTTTCACTTTTTTTGGTGATTAACTAATTGGTAATTATCCAATTAGCTGATTGTCCAATGTAACAATTTTTCATACAAAAGTTTTACTCCTTGATAAGATAAACATTCTAGGTTAATTTGCAGCCTTCTACGACGTTCACAACTAAAGATATTTGGCAAACCAGAAAGGTGGTACAAAGGTGGTAAAAAGTGGTAAAAGTGGTGTTTCTGTTGAGATACAAAATTGGCAACAAGTCTAATTATGTTCGTAGGGGTCCTAACTACCATATTCCGTTGAGAAATCCTTGTGAACATTCAAATCCAACGGAATGCCACTTTTCCCCTTACTATATAGTCCCTCGAGAGAGAGAGAGAGCTTCAAAAGTACAGTACTCACGCATTAACAAATAAAAAGCTAGGCTATAGCAAGAAGAAAACATTATTGCAACAGCAAGGCTATATTGTACACGCCGCACCCACGTCATATAATGGAGGGTGCACACAGAGAGAGAGAGAGAGAGAGAGTATCTAATATAATGGTCGTGACCGGGCTGGGTTCGGTGCATTATGGGAATCACCCTATACAGTATCTACTATACTATGCATATTGCATATACTGTGTTCAAAATAGCACACTTTAATGGAGCACGAAAAGTTTACTTAAACATCTCTCGTAGAGAAGCTGGCATACACAATTCAAGGCAATAATTGACCGAATGCTCCAGAGCGATCTCGGAAAGAGAGAGAGAGCACCATTCACCCACCGTATTTAAGTGCCCCCACTCTGCAAAACGTGACTAAAAGCTTGATGTCAAATCTTTCTCATAATAATCTGGGTTTTATAACCGGGGAGCTACCGTTTCAGAAGTGCACACGTACATCTCGTAATGTTGTGACGTAAATGCGCAGCAGCGCAGCGCGCTACGTGTCCCACGTAAAATTACCTTGCTCTCTCTGGGAAGCGGGAAAAAAGGTTTTGTGTTTGGTTATAGCAGACGCACTTTGAGCATTTCTTTGAGCTGAAACAGGGGAATTGTGATTAGCACGTTGACAGGCTATACTGTGAGCAATCTCCCAAATATAATGTAATCTGGTAGCTGTCTCCGCGGAGCTGCAAACTATTTTTGAAAGGAAATTTCCGTTACATCAAGTATGGTTAAACTGTTTGGATTGAAGAATATAGATTTTACCATATACAGATATATCAGATGTTCATGCTGTGCAAATTTGATTCATTGGCGTGCTTAGAGGGCCCAAATCTGTATAATTAACTTTGCTATATGCTCGATCACGTGGAGCCACATTTGTGCAAGTTTCAACTACTTCGATTTATATTTTAACTTTCAAGTTCTACTTCTTTATATTTTCAACTACCTAAAGTTTATATTGTAACTTTCAACTACTTAATTAATTATATCTTTATTTTGAACTATATCACATTATATTTTGACTCTTAAATGTTTCCTTTATATCTTTACTTCAACTAATTCTTTAAATTTTCAGCTACTTAACTTCTTCTCGGAAATATAATTACTTACGTTGCATCCTTGAATAATAATTAGTTTCTTTTATTGGAACTTTCATTATCTACTGTTTTTTATCATGGCAAGTATGATTTGATCTGAGTTCAGAACTTAATTTGAAGAAAATGATTTATTTAATTTAAAAGGAAGTAAAATAATATAATTAATCAGCATGACATCAGCTTATCACAGTGAAAACCAGAAACGATATTCTTTGAAGATTACAAGAATTTTGAAAAAAAAGTAGACATCGGCACTTATCGCCAATATTGACTTGAATAATCATTGAAATTCCAGCAGTGAAAGTTGGAAAAAGAAATGAAAATTGTAATTGCTCTAATAATAGATGAGCCGTTCACACACACTATAACTCCACATTAAATTGGTCAAAGAGGTAGAAATTAACTCTTCAACTAATGGATTTATTCGTTTTTAATGGACAGAAAGTTCCATGAACCAGAACATGATGTCTCTAAACCAGGGATACTACGTAGTTAACATTAAGTGGTCAGAAGTGGCAGTTACCAAGCTGACAAAACTCGGCAAACTGTGACACCGTCCCAGTATATTTCAGAGGAACAAAAAACCCTTATTTAGAAATCATTGCGGAGTCGTTTTGTCAATTCCAGGTCACTTTGGAGGTTTTCCAAGAATTCTAGGGTACGTACTTGGAGCCAATAATAGATATCCAATCAGCCTTTCCACAACCATTTATGGCTTTAATAATGGTTTAATCGTCGGGAAGTGGTTTGCAACAAGTCAAAATCAGAATCAATAGGAAATTTACATCAGAAAGACATTTACATGCAGTATTGCAGGGTGAATATTATTTAGACATGTATGCATAAGAAATATTATTCAGAATAGGCAGTTAATTAATCAATCCCTCACAAATGTACAAAACATATAGGTAATATAAGACTGTAATAAATACTATTGACTCTGAAAAAACAGTGATTTAAGATACATGATACACGATTTCATTTGACATTGTGAGGAATCACATTATTTAACAGCAATGCTAGTTTTATAAGTTCGACACACAGCTATAAAATAAAACGTACTTAATACCCTTCAAGAAAATAAAAACGATTGTTAATATCTAAGAAATACTTCAAGTTCAGTAAAATACATTTTTGGATAATAATAATACATTTTAGGGTACTAAAATACGTTTTTAATATCGAACCCTGTTGTATTAATGCTAATATTATTTATTACTTATAATAACTTACGTTTCAGCTACCACAATTATACTTACTAGAAATGCTTGCCCGGTCGGGCTCAGTAGTTGGTACTGAGAGAGCCCTTTGTCGGCGGGCTTTTTTTGGTAACATGCAGCATACTATGCCCTAATTAATAGTGTTTATATTATCATGTAAGGGATCTGTCAAAAGTTAATGTTGATTACTAATATTAAATAATTCTAAATATGTACATTATTATAATTTTCAAGTAATATAATATACATTATCATACAATAGTATCAATGTTGTCAATTTTTACTTGACAAGAAGATCTGATTCGAATACATTCTTGAATCTTTGAAACTCTTTTTGAAAAAAACGATAACATGTATGCCGTATGGCAAAGAACAGTAGCGACTTAACAAAGTCATATAAGAAGACTAGCATAAAACAACATGTCAGGAATCAAACAAAAGTTTATTTAAATTATTTGTATAGCAAATTTAAAGTCTATATTTCAAAGAATGGGAATTGGAGAGAAACATTGTTCAGCCTTGATACAATTAAGCCTATAAGTATCTCGAATTGGTACTTGAAGGTTTTAGCAGGTTTTATACCAGACTACTTGAAGTATGATACAGTAGACTTTGACATAATGCTACATTAAAGGGAAAATGTGAACACTGAACATGTACATTGTACCTGCATTTTATAGTAGAGGGCTGACAAAAAATATATGAGCACAAAAATTCAGACTGGGAAATTGCCCAATTTGACTATGCCCATGTGTGTTATATTCCTAAATAAGCAATGTGAGAGAAATGTGAGTGTATTTAAAAGCGGCCAAACACCAAAACCGTCTATCAATTGGCAAGGCAAATGACTTCATGTAATTATTGAAAATATAGACAAAAACTTTTTCAAAATTAGCATAAAATGTCATAATATGGCATAATTTTTTTATGGAGGAATTAAAAACCTTTGGGTAAATTGAAATTTACGCCATTTTAGGTCAAGGGGTACCCTAGTAATATTCTTGATCTTTTGGCAGGGCCCCTCCTCATTTAAGGGGGCAGGGGGGGTCTTCATGGAAATTTTCTCAAAATCGACTTTTTAGTTGTTTCTGATAGAGGGGAGTAATATCTATCAGATGCTTTTGATCTCGTGGAAAAATATCGTTCCTAGCCGAAATTATTGCTGGTCAAAGGTCAGCGCGTGTGTGTAATTGTATTGCGCGAGCAATTTTTGATCGCGTGCCCTGAAAATCGAGTCTAAAAATCTATCTTCTCCTACATTTTTTGAGCAATCACCCTGAAACTTTCAGGATATGTTCTAGGGATCATTTAGAAGAGATGAGCCAGGCAGAATTTTGAGATAGGCCTTTAAAAAAATTTTTATTCGATTTTGAAAATCGTGGACCTCGAAAAATCATCAAAAAACGAGGTCCACGATTTTCAAAATTGAATAAAACAATTTAAAAGGCCCATCTCAAAATTCTGCCCGTCGCATATATATATAGTTAATGAAAGAGATTTAGAACATGGCCCGCCACACAGACCAGCATTCTGGGGTAGGTTGCGTGACGATATATACATGGCCTGGCCTGGTACTGTTGAGGAGCTTCTACAATTTATGGAATGGCTCAATAGTATCCATCCGGACCTTGTGTTTACTTACGACTACTCTAAGGATGGTGTTGAGTTTTTAGACACCTATGTCTATGCTGTTGGCGATGTTATTCATACCAAACTTTACTCTAAGCCCAGTGACACCCACTGCTATCTCATCCCCACCTCATGTCATAGGAGCCATGTTCTCAAAAACATACCCTATGGTGTGGCGAGGCGAGTGAGGCAGAACAATAGTGAAGACACTAATTTCTTAGAGCAAAGGGAGGTATATACTGGTTACCTTGGAGCCCGTGGTTACCATTCTAGTATTGTAGACGATGCTTTCAACAAATTTAGTGATATAACCAATAGGAAAAACTTGTATGCCCCTAAAAATAAGGATGAGACGACTACTTGTCTAATACTCATGGTGATGGATCAGAATCCAGCACTTCCCAACATGGGGAGCATTATTCACAAGTATAAGCACCTTCTTAATCTCGATCCAGCCTTGAAGAAGCTAGTACGTGCTGACAGTGTATTTGTAAGTCACCGAAAGAATCAAACTATCGGTGGCATGCTTGTACACAATAAGTATCGTGCTAGTGGAACTGTAAGCAGTGATAGAGATGGAGAAGCCACTGCTAGTCAATTTCTTGAACCAGACGCTGCAATATTGCCGGCTGTTCGGGAGGCTGACAATGCAGGGTGCCATGCCTGTGGAAAATGCTATGTTTGTAAGCAAAGTTTCCTGTCCCCTTGTTCCAAATTTAGTAGTCACCATTCTAAACAAGTTTTCCCTATTACTAAAATATATATAACTTGTCAGAGTAATAACCTTATTTATTTAATGGAGTGTAGAACTTGTAAACAGTCGTATGTAGGATATACTACTTCTAATCTCCCTAAGAGATTTTCTAATCATAAGAGCCACATTAAGAAAGGTATCAGAAGTTGTAAGTTAGTAAATCACTTTTTAGATATTGATCATGATTTAGATTTTAGTTCAGTAGCCTTATATAACTCTTCACTTAGTACGCACCTTTCTGTTATTATAGTGGACGCTCTTGAATTTAAACCTGAAATAAGTCAAGCAGATAGGGAAAAGGCCATGGAAGCTAGAGAGGGGTTCTACCAGACCCAATTGAAAACCCTTGAGCGTTATGGGGGTATGAACACCCTCGATAGTAACCACATCCTTTTTAAATCCGCTGGAGCTTAGTGTTTAGTTTATTTATTTTATTTGACATGATCTCAGCCTATTAACCCGTGTTTAGTTTACAATATTGCTATCAGAGACGTGTTATATTCATTACTATTTATGTATTTTTACTGCTTGATTCAGAGAAATCTAGCTTTTTCCGAGAAACTAATCTTTAATAGATTAGATAAAATGTACGCAGCCATTCCTTTCGTTTGATTATTACTCAGTATATTTTAGTTTTGTACCGTTTTAAGTCACATAGTTTTGTACGTCTTCCTAAGACTTGTTTTCCTTTCCTAGTTTGTAAGTTATTTTAAAGATTTGTGAATATTCCAGTTGCTTTGTTGTGTAGTAGTGCTGGGGAAAAAACACGCTTTAAATATCAATGAATGTAAATATTGTTAATTGACATTAGTGCCACAGTTTATGTGGTAAAAACAAATTTATGGTCAAACATTATATATCGTAGAAGGGCATGATTTACCCACATCACTAAGCATCTGGATGGATAATTAGCACACAAGGATAAACTGAGCTTTAAACATGACCACCAGCAATAGCATATAACCATAGCTCCAAAATAAATAAATTGCTCTACATAGAAACATCTGGCCTGATCTTATCACATTGTGGTCCCCTGGGGTTCGGTAAAGCCCTTACAGGCAACTGGGTCCTTTTACCAGCCACAATAAAACTAGTCATGCCAGTACTGTCATAAACTGTAACCAACTATTTAAAAATAAGATATATTTTGCTAGAATTCTAAATTTTAAGCCATAGAGCAATCTTCTCAATTTTAAAATTTAAAAATAACATTTTACCCTAACTATGATGTGGTGGCATTTCATACTTAACTAAAATTCAACTTTGAAAGTCAATAGATTATTAGTCACAACAAAATTATAGTTTAAGACATCCATTTTGCATTGTGTTTCCAATATTAGAATTTATGATATGTATTGATTGAATAATTGGTAATAAATTTAACTTTTGTTTTATTAACTTTTGTTTTATTATACATTATATGGATACTTTAGGTCCATGGTAGACTCCACGTACCCTTTGCTTTCTGTATTTCGATGGAGGGTAAAATAATGCTAACTATTAAGGTTTTGTTCATTTTAAAGCCATATCGATTTATTATACGCATGCCAAAAATTAAATGCGTAACTAAAATAGAAATTAAATTACAGAAGTTTTGAATTTTAGGGGTGTTTCTAAAGATCAGGGTCTAGCATATATTATATACGCCGATGTTATTTTCCCATCAGTTACATAACCGAGAAGGTTAGCACCGACCTCTCGATTGCAATCAGTCTCCGGATTGATCCAATGGAATGTCACGTCACAACTAACATTAATTCGTGGTGGGTCTTGAAAAAAGGGAGGTAGAACTGTCAAATATGAAATTGTTACATCCTGTAGTTTCCAGTCGACAGATCAGGTCTATGTCAAGGGTTAAATTGACCAACATAAGAATCGGATTAAAAGAATTTGGGCCGACATTCTTGTTGACCATTTTATTTTTACTATTAGCACTATATCAACTATTTTTCCGAAGAGTAATCTAAGTCAGTTAATTAAAATTACAACGCCATCTTTAATATAGGAATATTAACTTGTATAAAGACACATGACCCTACAGAATGGCAATGATTAGAGTAATATTGCTGATAGCACTGCTCTCAGTAACAACTGTGCTCGGTGGTCCAGGTAAGAGCGGAACATTTTATATTACCACTATGATCACTGCTTATTACTACTGCTTTATGAGACATGTAGTTTCCATTAGTCAATCACAGTTTTCTCTTCAAATTATGATTCTACGACCACTCATTTCAGGGGATTGCACCTCGAGGAGAATTGGCTGCTTCAGGGACGCTGCGGACAGAGCAATGAATAGAATAGAAATTAAACAGTGATTTTGGGCTAGTCGTTTGTTTTATACAACTCATCCTACCTAATTCATACAATCTAGCTAAATATTTAGCAATTATTGCTCCCCTCCGTAGGCGTAATCAACCATAATCAAGACCCAAACCCCCTTCCTGACAGCAATATTGTGTAATCATGGCCTGACCCCCGGCCACCCCCCCCCCCCCCCCCCCCCCCCTTTTTGACTTTTTTCCTTGGAAATAATTTTCTCTACGTTTCATGCTACCCTGATCATGATGAGCCGAAATCATTGTTATGATATCCAGCCAAGCACCTTTCAAACTACTTACTTTAGCAGCCGGATTAAAAAGGGGAGGGGGATAGATAAATGGAATATTCATCTAGAATCTAAATATCATTTCGAACACCTAAAAGACAGTTTTTTGCCCTTTTATCGTATTTCGACCTTCAATAATTTTCTAGCTCAAACACAAGGGTCCGTTTTGCCTTTCCAAGCTGAAATCAATCAAGTAAAAATATTTCCGAAGTTCGAAAGTTTCCGAAATTCAAGTTTTCATGTTTTCTATCCCGATTTCAAAGTCCCCACCTCACCCTCGATATACGATCTTAGAGTCGAGGCTCCCCTTTGTAATTCGATCTCGGAGGGTAGGCCTCCCTATACAATACGATTTTGGAAGCGGGGAGACTGCCTTTCAATGTACATATCGAAAATGCAGAATGACTCAGGCCGAAAATTTTAAAAGTTTTTAAGTCAAAAATTTTCCTCGAAACCACTTTTCTCCACAGTTCATGTCACCCTGATTATTATTAGCCGTAAATACTTTTCAGGACCTATCCCTTGAGAATTTTCCTGGAAATTAATGACTTTTCTGATTGATATCAGACCAATCACCTTCTAAACTACTTACTAAGTCGGATATCCGATCAATTTCTAAATATTGTATCACTATCAGAGTGAAATTGAGTGGAATTTGAATTAAAATATTGTCAAATTGTTATTATTCTAGAGGGTAAAAAAGAAAATTTTGATAATGCGATTAACGACCAAAACCCCCTCCCGTAATCAACCGTAAGCATTTGGAAACCCCCTCCCCCTCGGCTGATTACATAATATGTGAACGACTCTTAATGGGAAAATAGGTACCCCTATTTCTATTCAGGCGAGCGTGCTAAATCACTCTACAGTCGATCTTCGAGATTGTTCTAAAAGGGCCCCCGACGGTTGTAACCAACTTCAATTGATGTATTTTCGGACGCTGATTCCGAATCACCCCCATGACATAGGGTTAAAATGCTCCCCTGACGAGATATTGGCGAAAAACTGTCTCGATCACGTGATATGACCGTATAAGAAAGTTAGTCCAATTTCTCGTTAGGGTTAGGGTTTCAGCATATGTTTTTGTTAAGGATAGGGTTAGGGTTAGGGTTGGGATCAGATTAGAGGGATAGAGTTTCGAAAAGTCGTTCAGAACCAGCTAAAGAACGGGTAAAAAAGTCACGTGACATAGGATGATTAATCATCATCCTATTTCAGGCACAAATTTTAAGCTAAAACTTAAGTTTAAGCTTAAAATAACCGCAATAGCTTTATTAATTTGTTATGAAACAATGAAATGAAATGAAATGAAATAAGGTATTTATATCCCGCTCATATGATACGAAACCCCCCTTGTATCAAGAGAAGAACGTTGGTGCACCTACTGCTTTTTCGGCAAAGGGCTCAAGCCTATAGAGGACGAAAGTCACGTATTGATTGACTGTTTGCTCTACTCCTCAGTTAGGGAAAAATTCAATTTCCATCCCCAAAACATTACTGACCTAGTCGGTTTGCTCTCCAACAAAACTCTAGATCCTACCACACTCACTGCCACAGCAAGAGCAATCCATTCAATTCTCTCTGTGAATGAACAATATACAGCCTATTATAAGAGCCCAGATTTCCACTCAAATACTGGCAAGTGCATAATGCTATAGGACCTTAAAATAAAATTGAACCATACAAACTCGATTTATCTATTTTTCTAAAACTAGCATTATATAACATTTCTAAATTATCCCCACACACTTGTAAATAATTAGAATTGTGTAACTTAAATTATTTCAGAATTACAACTATTGTGTCCTCAATAAAGTAATCATCACTTTTGTATCCTTGTATCCTTGTATCCTATGATTAACCAACAACACAAGGAAGATGGTTAACCATGTCAGAGCGGCTGACTGTGAGTGATGTGAGCAAATGTGTAAAAGTAAACTAAAGTATAACTCATCATAAGGCAAAGACAAAATTAAAACATCTTTTATTGTAAACCACACTAAATAGAATAGTATGATGTATGATACTTAAAAACTTTAAATTAATTTTGACAAAAATTACTGAGGCAGCCAACCAACACGCGGCTTTATTTGTTTGATATGATATGTTTTGATTAATATTAATAAATTGAAGTAATAGAAGTAGTAGCGAATATTTGTCGTTTCGCCCTTGCCCCTTATCAGAGCACAAAGGCTTTATCATTTTGTTGTATCGCGATGCGTTACTGTGCCGCGCACTCAATAAGGCTTCTCACAGGCTTCTCGCTAGATCGGCGTTGATTGACGGTGTCAACCCATCGAGATCGTTGCTTTGCGAAGCAGAGCAAGGATCGACGATTGGTTGACGAAGCAAGAATGCTAGTTTGCGCGGCGCGTCGAAGCGGTGAAGTCCTCCAAGATCGGCGAGATGCGTTACTGTCCCTCGCCGAGCTCCGATGAATTGACATCGTCAATTAATCATAATTTTGAAGTACAATCGAAATTAGCTTTTATCTCCTTTGAGTTATTAATTAATACCAAAATTTTAAACTCGTTTTCCTAAAACTTGTTTTCCTTTGTCATACGTTGTATGACTCCCCCTGTATCGTCAGTGAAACGACCGTGGGTGTCACAACGTGATACAAGTTTTCCTATAAAAATAATTGCTCTAACCAGAGCCCTCTCGCTTGCAGTAGCGCGCGTCACGCAGTACGCGTATACACATGGCTATGTGAATTAAAATAACTATTATTAAAGGTCCACCTGAGCTAATTAAATATGTGAATATAAGAATCTTATAGCTCATATATTACACCTATACTAATGCGTTTATCAGGAATATAATTACTTCACCTATAGCATGCTAGTCGATTAGTAGTTTTCTCTATGATATAATACAAAAACTCCAAAATTGGCCGCACCGCGCATCAAATAATGCGCCACACCGCGCATCCAATAATGCGCCACACCGCACATCCAATAATGCTTCTTGCAACCATTCGTTAGATCGGTGAAATGCGCTATTGCATACTGGGCCTCCCCGAACTGCAAAGAATTTACATCGTCAAATAAGAAAAAAAGTATAAAAATATAATAGGGATTGACTTGCCACTCACTGCAACCCCTTTTGATCTTGCACTAAGCGCGTGGTAGCTGCCTGGTTTGTGGTGGAGTGCGCGCTTCGCGTGCACGAGAGAGGTATACAACGTGTAGCAAGGATTGAGGCGTCTAGTAATTAAAATTAAATATTAGCCGAGCTGTTATTACTGTTCACACCTTTCTCTCTCTTTCGTGACAGAATACTTCTAACCGTGTTTACCCTTTCTAGCAATGACTACCAAAGAAGGATAACCGATTGGACTGGGGAGGAGTGGAACATTGGCAGCACACTACCGTCCAATCGGTAAGTATTTACAATGTTTAGTTATTAGGTATATATTTGGAATTGGTTTAATTTGGTTGTAAAGTTATTCTATTATGTAATAAAGTATTGTGTTTTACAGGTTTTGTACATACGACAATTACTGGTTTTAATTGGTCAACTAAGAGTCATCTAACAGTGATAGCAGGAAGCAGGACGATCTACCCGACGACCTAACAACTGTGGAACTTTTGGTTTCTTTTGAGAGACATTGAGAGACAGTTTAGAGTTTTTTTAGAGACACTTTGGGAGTTTTTTGAGTCAAACTGTAATCATGAGTCTTCGTGAGATACCTGTGTTAGACGATAGCGCTGACTACAGCACGTGGAAGAAAAAAGTGCTCATATGGCAGCTTGGAACTGCAGCATCAGTGAAACAGCAAGCAAGTAAACTTATCATGAACATGAAAGGGAAACCACAGGAGGTTTCTATAAACATACCAATAGATGTTCTAGGAGCTGAAGATGGAGTTGTTAAACTCATTGCTGAACTGGACAAACTGTACAAGAAGGACGGTACTCAGTCTTTATTTAAGGCGATAGACGACTTTGAGAGATATAGAAGAGGAGATGGAGAAGATATCGACAACTACATCTTGGAATTCCAGCGGAGGTATCAGATCCTTAAACAGCTGAGAGAAAACAAAGAGCTCTATGATGATATGATATTAGCGTATAGACTGTTAAATCAGGCTAGCCTAAACGATGAACAGGCCAGATTAGTTAGAGCTACTTGTACTAGTACATTATCTTATAACTTGATGCAAGAACAGTTAAAAAGGACATTCGGAGATGGATTTACAAGGAATGAGAATCAATCCAGTCTGCCTTTCAAAAGTACTCCAATGGAGGTGGTAAAGCAGGAACCCGTCTTTCTAACTGAGGATCAGCAAATGGGGTCTGACGTGCACTGGACCAGAAATGGGGATCATCAAAGAAACTTCACTGGTCAACCTATGAGAGGGGAAAACAGATATAACCCTTACGGTCAGAATAGAGGGCAGTCTAGATTCAACCCATATACACAGAAACGAGGACAAAAGTCTTACATGAGGGGGAGCAGTAACCAAAGGATCAGTTGTTTCATATGCCATCAACCAGGTCATGTTGTCGCTGAGTGTTCTTTTAACACATTCGCTAAATCTCATCAAAAACAAGATGATGAGTCTCGCAGAAAGGTCTACGCTTTATTTGAATCAGATTTTTCACTTCCAGATTGCGAAGAAGAGATAATTTACTTAACAGGTGAATGTACGAACAAAGCGTTGATAGATACAGGGGCATGTGCAACCATCTGTGGAAAGGAGTGGTTTACGGTGTATGAAAGCTCTTTGACTACAGAAGAGAGGAAACTGATACAGACTGAGACTACTGAAAGGACATTTCGATTTGGAGATGGTAAGCCAGTGAAGTCGATTGCTTTGAAAACTATACCTATTAACCTTTGCAACAAAGATATGTTTTTGAAAACATACGTGGTGACGAACGATATTCCTCTTTTGCTAGCGAAGCAAACCATGACGAAAATGGGTATGGTACTAGACATGGAAAATATGACCCTAAAAATAAAAGACAGCAAAACACTGGAGAAGTTGCGGAGTACAAAATCGGGTCATGTAGCTGTGCCGATTGCACGTTGTGGAGATGGGCAAGAAAGTGGAGTAACTTATCAAGTGTCTGAAGAGCAAGACTGTGGAAAAACTGCTGACTTTTATCACCGTTACTACGCTCATGCATCAGCTGCAAAGATAGGTAAAGTCATCAAAAACGCAAAGTTGAAAGATGGTAATAAGATCATAGAGGAGCTTGAGAAGATTGATCAAACATGTGATTTTTGCTTGAAGTACAAGACTAGATCTATTCCGAAGAGGAAAGTGGGAATCCCTCAAGCTTCTATTTTTAATGAAGTCGTTGCTATGGACTTAAAAATTATAAATGATGAGGTGACTTTACTACATATGGTTGATACCGTAACAAGGTATTCTGTGGCAGCTCGAGTGATCAGCAAGGAAGCTCAAGAAATACTTGATAAGGTATTTAAGCATTGGATATCCATATTTGGACCACCATCGACCTTCATATCAGATAATGGAGGAGAATTTGTAAATGATTGTTTTAACCAAGCTTGCTCAGTACTGAACATCAAGATTCAGACATCGCCAGCGTATTCACCTTGGTGCAATGGGATTGTAGAACGACACAACGGCATCTTGGGATGCATGATAAAATCTTTGTTAGAAGAAATGAGATGTGATCCTGAAATTGCTATAGCGTGGTCTGTTAGTGCTAAAAATTCTCTGAGTAATACATACGGATTCAGCCCTCACCAACTAGTATTCGGAACAAACCCAAGGGTTCCTGGAATCATGGAAGAAAATATGACTCCTGGAACATTAAACCATGAAGGTGTTCTCAAAATAGTCAGTGATCACCTCAACGCTCTCTCTCTGGCTAGACTGAAGTTTGTTGAATTAGAAGCTAACGACAAGCTCAAGAGAGCACTCCAACAGAGGATATTTCCGCAAGCTAACTATAGATATTGCAGTGGCGATCTCGTGTACTTCAAGAGAAGTAAAAAGTTCTGGTATGGACCAGCAACAGTAATAGGACAGGTTGCTAATCAAGTTCTGATCAAGCACGGGGGTCACATCGTGAGAGTGCATCCGTGTAAGGTGGTTCTTAAATCTAGAGCAAAAGAACAAATTGAAGGAAGTGGTGCAACCTTGCAGGGCCAGGGGGATGTTGGTAAGCCTACTATAATCTCCGAGTCGGATTATCGAGCAGCAGTGGAGGAAGTTAGGCCTGGGGAAAATACTACTCAGTCTATAGACTTTGATGATATAGAAGATGAGGACGAGGAGGTCCCAGTAACAACTGTTCAAACATTGGTAGAAGATAGGGCTCAATCTATAGAATATCATGACACAGTGAATGTAGATGACACAGCGAATATAGATGTGTCTTCTATAACAGATGTCTCAGCTGAAGCCACAGAAACGGAAACCTCGACGGAGGTAGATGAAGCTAATACAGAAACAGACAACTCAATCTGGAATAGTATATCTGGGGATTCTACAAAAATCCGACTGATTAGAGGAGATGTGATACGTTTTAGATCTGAGGATGAGGAACCTTGGAAATACGGAATGATTGAGAAGAGAGCTGGCAAGACGTCAGAATGTTCGAGAAATTCATTTCAAATCGAACAGGATCTAGTGGAAGAGCCAATAATAGTAGATTTGGAAAAGCATCATGTTGAGAAACAAGAAGGCAATCAAAGGAATACAACTGTACTATTGACGCAAGAAGATGCTGAGCCTTATATCTTCGCAATCGGAATACAGGACTCAAAGAAGATAGACGTTGCTAAGGAACAGGAACTGAAAAGACTGTCAGAATTCGGAGTATACCAAGAAACTAAAGATACGGGACAAAGTCATGTATCATCAAGGTGGGTAGTAACTACTAAGGGAGAAAACGATGAGCAAGTTAAAGCAAGACTGGTTGCTAGAGGTTTCGAGGAGAATTGTGTCATGAGGAAAGACTCTCCTACGGTAACTAAGGTAGTTATTAGACTGTTATTTTCACTAGCAGCTTCATATAATTGGACTGTTGACACTTTAGATGTAACCAGTGCTTTTCTACAAGCTAAAGGAACTATGAGAGACGTATTTGTTAAACCTCCCCGTGATATAAGGAAGCGAGGAGTAATCTGGAAATTACTTAAACCGCTATACGGACTTGGTGACAGTGCAAGACGATGGTACGTTACTATTAAGGAACATCTGACTGAGACTTCTAGCTGTGAGATCTCAAAGTTAGATAAATCTTTGTTTAGATATTACGAGAACAACAGATTGCAAGGAGTGATGGTTACACACGTTGATGATATACTGCACTGTGGAACAACGCGATTCAAGAACACTGTAATAAAATCAATCTACAGTACGTTCAAAATCAGCAGAAGTTATACGGGAGTATTCACCTATCTTGGGTGGAAAGTGGTGCAGAATGAAGATATATATGTCGATCAAAGAGATTACGCATTAGCTATAAGACCTGTGGATATAGCTAGTAGCAGATGTACGGAAGCAGAGAGTGACCTCACGGAGGAGGAATTAGTAGAATATCAAAAGCTATTGGGAAAACTTTTGTGGTTGAGCTCTCAAACCAGACCTGATTTATCCTTTGACACTCTGGAACATTCCACTTACAGTACCAAGAAAGTGAAACACCTTAAAAGTTTAAATAAGGTAACAAAGAAATTGGCTGACGGGCCAAAAAGAGTAGTCTATAGAAAATTAGATATTGAGAAAGGAAACTTACACCTCTTGTGCTTCACAGATGCAAGCTTGGGCAACATCTCCGAAACCAAGCATAGTGCTAGTGGTTACATTATTTTCCTTACAGATGGAAATGTAGCAAACCTGATAGCGTGGTCGAGCAATAAAGTTAAGAGAGTCGTGCACTCTATATTCGCTGCTGAAACACTTAGCTGTACTTCTGGCACAGCTGCAGCGATCTATATAAGACAAGTGTTGTCAGAAATGTTGTTCAGAGATCCGCATAATGAAGTGATCCCGATTGTTGTCTTGATTGATTCAAAACAACTCTATGATAATGTACACTCCAGCAGTTTGTGTCAAGATAAAAGATTAGTCCTTGATATAGCCGTTCTGCAGGAAAACTTACATAAAGGGGTAATAGGAGAGTTCAGATGGGTTCCTACACCAAAAATGTTGGCTGACTGTTTAACAAAGAAGGGTGTCTCCAGTGGAGATTTGGCAAAGATTCTTGAAACAGGATACTTTCACTTGGACGAATATCTCAAAAGATAGTCATCGGTCATAAGCTGTTCGTGTGTTGTTGAGTGTTTGAGTCTTAAGTTTTTGAGTCAAGAGTCGATGTATTTATTTTAGGTTTTGTGAGTTTGTTTCAGTTTTATGTTTGTTGTTAAAATCTTGTCGTGTTTTAAGTTTGTTTATCACAATTTGTTGTCGGGTTCTATGATTTTAAATAGAATACTTGTTTAGGACCAATTTTATGTCTGTTATAAGATTAAGCAATTTTTTTCAGTATGTTTATTCAGTTCCATGATTCGTAGAATAGTGTTTTTTACGAGTTATTTGCTGAGCAATGTCAGGAGTATATATTATTTCGTCTCGTCAGTTTTTATTTTAAGTTTGTATATTTCATTTTAATTTGCAAAAGAGTGTGGTCGCAGGTAAACATAATAATATATCTGCGTATATAATATGTTTGTAGCTAATTTAGGTAGCTAATCCACTTTGCTGAGTTTGTTCTGTTAGCATTTATTTCAAATTTTTATTCGTTTTATGAGACGCTCTTAGTTTTTGAGCTAGATTTTTAAACCTCCGTGAGTTTTTAAAATCGGACAAAGGATTTTCTAGATTGCTAGTTATTTTGTGCGCGTGGGTATAAAAAGTACCAGTGTAGCAGCATTTGAAAATGCGCGCTGGTTGCGTGGCGTTTTGTATTTTAGCGGGGTTTGAAGAGAATTTTAATATGATGTATTATGTTTTCTTGGTAATAAACTTCGAATGTTTTAGTCTCGATAGGTCACTGCGGGTGATAATCAGAAGACAGCGGTAGCTCCAACGGGGTTGTTGAGCGTAATTATTGGAAACATTTCGAGAGTGTGGCAGTTATTTTATGGATATGTCTAGATAGGTCACTGCGGGTGATAATCTGAAGACAGATGTAGCTCAGACGGGATCTTCGAGCGTATTTTTGTGAAATTTAGTAGTGCAATCTTGAGAGAAATTGGGGCTAGCATTGCTGGAAAAGGAAAACCGGGGAATGTTATTACTGTTCACACCTTTCTCTCTCTTTCGTGACAGAATACTTCTAACCGTGTTTACCCTTTCTAGCAATGACTACCAAAGAAGGATAACCGATTGGACTGGGGAGGAGTGGAACATTGGCAGCACACTACCGTCCAATCGGTAAGTATTTACAATGTTTAGTTATTAGGTATATATTTGGAATTGGTTTAATTTGGTTGTAAAGTTATTCTATTATGTAATAAAGTATTGTGTTTTACAGGTTTTGTACATACGACAATTACTGGTTTTAATTGGTCAACTAAGAGTCATCTAACAGAGCGCTGAAACAGTATTATGTGGCAAAGCAATTATACACAATGTTTTATCGTATTTTAATGAAGGAGTTTAATAAATAATAGTTTACTAAGGTTGCTAGTTTTTAGTTTATTACTTGCTTTTTACGGATATAAGCCCTAAAATTTAAAAAATGATGCCTCATGCGCCGCGCAAATCAATTTCCAATTAATTTGGAAAGTTTTAATTTACAAATGTTTATTTATAACAAGAATTGCGCCCGTTGTTTCGTTTTAATTTTGGCGGACGCTAAATTTCCCTTCACTATAAGTATAATTATAAATATAGGCTCCAATCAGCTCACTTCATAATAATAATATTGATACACATCAGTACACTTTACTATTACTAGTACTACGCTTACTGCCTACTGGGCCTTGATTGACGATGTCAATCCGTCGAGATCGTTGCTCTGCGAAGCGAAGCAAGAATGCTAGTTCGCGCGGCGCGTCGAAGTCCTTCAAACTGGGCCGCGCTCAGCCTGTCATTCCGCCGAATCTCTATGTTTGTGAACACAATAGCCTGATGTCCCTAGGTAAGTACTACGCATGCCACGTACAAATTGGGCTTATTACCTAATGCTATAAATATAATACATTATTGATACATGTTTCGTATCCCAATATCAGAGATAATATGGCCTTCGGCGGCGCGCGCTTCGTGCGCGAAAAGTGGCATGCAACGTATGTCAAATACATTACATGCATAGTATATATTAAAATTCTCTCGCGCCGCGCATTCATTGACATGCTAGCTATATACATCACATCTCCGCAAGCAATATCCGCGCGCGTCACTGCGCGCTAGTTGTCATGGTAACATACGGAAGTACCCACTACATGTTCAGACCCGCCTACCGCCATCTCCAAAATCCACGTTTTTCTGCAAAAACGTCCATTCGTAACCTTTCACGGAAAAAATCTTGCTCATGCTCCATGCAGTGGGCCCACTGCGTCATATGTTGGATTTTTCCATCATTACATGAAATGAGGATTGCGACGTGAGATAATTGATAATGAAAATTATATTAATTTTTGTATTGATATCCATTTACAAAGCTTTGATAAGACCCCATTTAGAGTATTGTGTTCAATTGTGGAGTCCAGTTGCGGCTCATGAAAGTTGGGGGATCATCTTGGAGCTGGAGAGCGTCGGCCAGAGGCGGTTTACCAATTACCCGTCTGATTGACGAGGTGGGTACTCTTCCATACAGTCGTCGACTGGAAATCCTCCTGGAAATTTTACAACGCTGGCAGAGTGGCGAATACGTGGTATTGGGGACCTCATTGAATCTTTTAAAATGATAAGTGGTTTGGCCAATTACGGAGCTGGTTTGTTCAGTATGAGCAGATCCGGTCTTAATGTGGTATCAAACAGTAGATGCAGTAAAAGTACCAGTAAAATGAAGAAAGTCCACAGTTCTTTTCTTCCGGAAAGGGGGAGACCATATTGGAACAAACTCCCCTCGGATGTCAAGAATTGTGGAACTGTGTTAAGTTTTAAAATAAGATTAGAGGCTTTCAAAAAAGAGACTATTTTAAACGGATCTCTGAATGATAGTCATTTTTGGTATGTTTCGGACGAAGTATTAGAAAAGATTGAGGGATTAAATTATGCTACTAATAAAGAGAAGCACAATGAATATCTTGTGTGTAATCCTCATGTTGCTAAAAAACGCTTTATCAACTTATATAGTAGTGGAATGTATGTAAATTAGATTCATTTTAACTTGGTTGTTTAGGCCAATAGATTTGATATAATTTTTAAACTTTAGTAGATATATTTTTGATGATGTGTGATGATGTTTGTGTCATTATATTTTGATTTGATTTGATTTGATTTTATTGTAGTAGTAGTAAATCTTTCAAAGTACGAAATATCTCTTTAAAAGAGCATCCTAGGCACCTTATAGATATCAAAACGCATAAAAAAGAAAACAAAAACACCAACCATCTTCTAACTTCTTCCACTCCTCCCTATCTAAAGCTAAAAATCTAAGGTCTTCGAAATCAGTCAAATTCTTAAGTCTAATATCAAGATTTCTACTAGTCAAGTCTTTTCTAATAACATCTAATAAGTTTAAACATGGTCTACCCCGTCTCCCTTCCATAAAAATATCAGAATTTATAGCAAATAACATAGAGGTGTATGCTGGTGAGTCTTCCTGTCCTCTTAAGATATGTCCTAACATTCTCCATCGAAACTTAGAGACTCTCACAGACAAGGGAGTGACATAACAACGAGCATAGAGTGCCTCATTAGAAATAACCCCAGTAGGCCATCTGATGTTGAGGATTCTTCGGAGGTGTTTGCGATGAGCAATATCAAGTTCATTCAACGAAGCTAGTGGTGCAGCCCAGGAGTTGCAGTTGTAGAGTAGAATAGAGACTACTTGTGCCTCGTAGATTTTATTGGCAATTTAAAATAATATGATGATGAAAATCTTATTTATTATTATTGGCTACGGATAGCATTTTAGTAACAAATAACATGGTTGGTGATAGAACTTAAAATAGAAAAATTAAATCACAAAACAAAGTTTGCACCCAAAGCTAAACATACAGAATAAAACAAATATTTTTCAGAATAAAACAAATATTATATTCAAATCTCTTTATTCAACAATATTAAATCATTATAGAACCTAATTTGTGGCTTGATCGTTATGTTAGGGCTATTCTGTTAGCTGATGCTGACAGGCACTGCATGGGGCAGAGACTTAGGACCATTACGCTGGAGGCTTACAATGACCCTTTTTGAACCCCATGGCAGTGCTAGTTTTATTATGGTTCAAACTGTAAATCGAAGTTATGAAAACGATCAAGTCACTCCTGTTTTACACTATCAACAGCTACTTAAAACAACCTAGATTGTACAACTCACTTTGAAGATTAAACTGTTAAGTGATGAGTCGAGTGATTGGGCTCATTAAACATTTTAGTAGCGGAGACATGCGGATCAGCTTCTTGAGGTTCTAATAGTTCATTCAGACAAGAAGTTTTACTTTTTCAAATTTAGTTGTTCAAGCTGCCTGAGTTCAGAAAGTTTGCCAAAGGGGCCCAGGTATTCTTGTCACCTTTACCCTGAGACGAGAGAATGACTTTTTTACCTTTGATTTGAATACACCATGAGTGATTTCAAGGTCGTTCAGTGCCAACATCTGACGGAATGAATTCCAAAGGCAACTAGATTTGTAAACGAAACTGTTTGAGGGCATGGTTGTTATAAGAAGAGTTTCTTTGCCGGGTCTTTTAGACAAACAGAAAAGTTCAAATAGTGCAATTGGTGTTCGATACTTAAAGACTTTAAAAAGTTCATTGCAGCAGTGATACGCGTATAAATTATGCAATGTCATGAGTGATTGACGGGCAAAAATTGGCTTGGTGTGCTCTCTCTCAAAGAATTTGCTAGTAAGTTTCTGTTCACTGATAGGTCTAGTCCTAGCACATGTCATAAATTTATCAAGGTATGCTTTTTTGTCACCAAACATGATACGAAAATACAAATATTTTAAAAACCTAAAACACGATCAATTAACGCGGTCCGTCAGTCAATTTAGCCATCACAACGAGTTTGTTACATTAAGTGAAAATTTTCTTAATATCAAGGCGGTTAAAGACCCAGGAAATGTGCTTGTAAATCGAGACCATGAGTCTTAGTCCCCTCGGCCCGAAATCAGTGGCGTAACGCTGCCCCGGCCACCCCGGTTACGCCGGGGGGCGCCACTCTCAGGGGGCGCCAAAAAGGCGCCCTTTCTCAACGAAAAGTCGCCCCTAGGTTTTTTCTTGAATTTTTCTTGAATTTTATGACCTCTCGCTGAAAATAGCGCCTTATTGGTGTATTCCCCTGTCCAATTTAGCTCTCAGTCGGTGTGAAAAAAATTGTTGGGTCCTGTTTTTGTTCCAGGGGCGCAAAAAAGCTGTAGGGGGCGCCAAAAAAAGGTACCCGACCTTTTTTTTTTTTTTTTTTAGGGACACAAAAAATTTGGGCGACTTTTTCGAGCCGCCGAAGTTAAATCAGCCACTAACGTTACGCCACTGCCCGAAATAAGGCTTGTATAAGGCTTGGTATTCAATAAATAATGCGAATGTCCGCTTTTAAAGTGCTAATTGTGGCCCGTATTTTAGATGATCATTATCATCACATGCCACCGACTCAATCCCAGGGTTCAAGCCAAATAGTCTTTTAGGTCTATGCATTATCTTGTAGCCGATTCAGCTAAACGGCCAAGAAAACTATTTAAAAAGATTTTGAATCTCATTTGTACTTTTCATATTTTTCATCTGATATTTAGATATATATTGCTGTGCTGTAAAAATTGACTTTATTTATTTATTTATTTATTTATTTATTCATAGCTGTTCTGTGTACAATTCCAAAAACATCGATTCTCACAACCATAACAAGGGGCTAGTAGTCATTTACTTGCTACTGATTGGTCACTAGCTGGCAAATAACTAGCTCTGCAAAGCAACCGGCTATTAGTAAAACAAAATTTTTTAGTAAAACAAAATTTAAATTTTATTGCCATTACAATAAATGAATAATGTCAATGATATCATAATAAATATAAGTAGACATCCGATAATAAACTTGTTAAATCCAGTACAACCCAAGATGTCGGCCGACGCGACTCACCATTATTGATCACTTTTGAATCGCTGGGTAGTGACCACCTAGTAGCAAGTCTTAAATTGACGTATTGGACGATCAAGAGGGAGATTTTATAGTAGTCAGATAGCGAACTTTTGAAGTGCCAGCTAGTGACCACCTTGCAACCATTTTTGAGTCATAACATGGTTGTGAAGCCTGTCTGACATGGTTATTTCATGGTTATGACATGGTTATGACATGGTTATGTCATGTCACATGGTTATGCCATCACGATTCTAGTTTATGACCAGGAAATCTTACTCTGGTCATTGTATATTACTGATACTTTTGAAGCTTCAGTCACTTAAAGCCTGAAATCGGCCATGTTTGATCTTTTTTCATGAAAACCCCCCATTTACTGTGTCTCGAATTACTGAAACCCCGATTTACTGCGGCCATTTCGTTTCCACAAATTGTCAGTGACATGTAAAATATGAACAATCAAATTACAATTTTGTCATGGCAAAAAGTTGTAGTTCTTCATCATGCAGTATAAATCAGCTTGTAATTTAGTCATCTATTGTTGAATCAAAAAATATATCTTTAAAGTGGTTCTTGTAGGAGTTACTGTTAAGGTTCAATAAAAATTGGCCCGATACCTTAAAAATACATTAAAACGGATGAAGAATCAGTATTACAGCGACTGACTTAACAAAATCAAGAAAAAATCTTTTTGAGAGCTTGTAGAACTTTTTCTAAAATTTGATCTCTCAAACTTTTTAAAAAAGTGCCAAGATTTATAGTTTTTGTCTATATTTCCCAAATATGAAGCAGTACAATTTCTAATGGCTCACAGTTTCTAAAGATAAAGGAGTACATATTATTAACATAATGTGTTGATGTTATGTTGATATGATTTTATTTAATTCTCAATACTAAAATTTTTAGCTGAACATGGATAATCTTTAGACAGTTATAATGCTAATAGGGTATGGTGGTAGAAATAAATATCATTGATGAGAGAGCAACGAATTCACAACGTATGTACTGAGAGGAAGTATTTATATTTGATACTAGATTCTTTCTTTGTATTGTGTCTGCGAGTTTCTGTACATTTTACAGCATCTGTGTTGTTTTAAAGCACACTTTCTTGATATTGATTAGGGAATACTTATCTAGGAGAAATTTAACATCCAATCCATTTTACTTGAGATGACTAAAACCAGTTTATCAAATTAAGATTGGTTGCATGGTATTTAAATTGCATTAAACAGAACAGGCTGCTTGTTTCTGATATCATTAATTCTTGCCTTACAATTTGATAGCATCAAAACCTTTAGATAACAGCTCTATTCAAATTTAGAATTATTACTCTTCTATGGAAATGTGAAGCAAAACTATTTTTTGCCAATAGGTACAATGGCATTGCAGTTTGTCTTGAAAACTTAGTTTATGTATGGATGGTAGGTTTTATGTGTTTGTCACCTCTTGCTAGACTGCTTGTTCAATATTTTGCTTCTGTCTTTTCTGTTTTCCTCCCATAAGCTGAATTTGCGAAAGAGCTGCTGTTTTACTGCATGAATCAAAATCAATAAAATGTGCCCAAATCAAATTCTTGGAAGATTCGGTGTAAACTTATATTATTTACTATTCCATGATCGAATAATTATAGTATATGCCTTGAAGTCTCCTGTAAAAACTACATATAATTGAAATTAAGTTCATGATTATAAAATCACACTATTACAGGGTACAGGATACTCGGGAAGAAAGGAGAAGGCACATTCTCGGAAGTGCTTAAGTGTCAACATATCAAGGATGGCAACTTCTTCGCAATGAAAAGGATGAAACAACGCTACACCTCGTAAGTCATTTTTCCTGTTTTGTATGGCCACCATCCAAACCAAATCGAATTTCATGTGTCTTTTTTGCCTTACACGACATAGATAGTAGATTAGTAGATACCGTTTGATTTCAATGGTACAATTATTAGATTGTCAGGGCCCAAGAACATGAGTATTGTATAGATTGGAGCTTGTAAACAAAGTAAAAATGGTTTATTAATATTGAACACAATATCACATTAAATACAAGTTCATATAGAAGATAGATGTCACTATGGCGATAATCATGCTCATTCTAATATTTAACGGGTAATAAAATCTCATTCAAATTATTTTTCAGTCTGAAATATTTTTGTAGCACATGAAGCTAGACATATGTTCTCGAGTGTCATTCAAGTAAAGGTTCCCAGCTTTGTCCAAAAATTGAGCATAGAACATCTCACTCTGAACAGTATAATTACACTTTTCGCGGAAAATTTTACCGGAGTACAATCCAGTGACCAGGACTACAGAGTAGTCACACCCTTTCTCTCTTCCTGATTCACTTTGCTTTACCAATTCAGTGCCAAGACCTTTAACTCGTGCCTCCTTTGCAGTACAAACACAAACAGCACTGAGTATTTTTTGGCAACCAAACTCATCAAACAAGGGCCAGACATCATAGCCGAGCTCACTCAGTAAGGCAGGAACAACTTCACATGTCTTTTGAAGGACTGGTTTTCTTAACAACTTAGCTATTCTAAGGGGGGCCAACGCCCCAATAGGCCCCACACATATCGAAAATCCGAAAAGGGCCCTAGAAATCGGGGCCCTTTGGGGCCTTTTGACCCTGACCACTATTTGAGAGTGTTTGTGGACCATAATCTCCATGAAAATACACTCAAATAAACATAAAAGTACTGTGCAAGTAGTCAGATAATATCATTAAAGCACTTAGCATAATATCAAACTTGATGAAATTGAAGTTAATTCTAGGGCCCCAAAAGGCCCTACACATATCGAAAATTCAAAAAGGCCCTAGAAATCGGGGCCTTTTGGGGCCTTTTGACCCTGACAACTATTTGATAGTGTTTATGGACCATAATCTCCATGTAAATACACTCAAATAAACATAAAAGTACTGTGCAAGTAGTCAGATAATATCATTAAAGCACTTAGCATATATCAAACTTGATGAAATTGAAGTTAATTCTAGGGCCTCAAAAGGCCCTACACATATCGAAAATCGGAAAAGGGCCCTAGAAATCGGGGCCTTTTGGGGCGTTGGCCCCCCCCCCCCTATTCTAGCTAAACAGGGCAGAAACCTCATTATGGATCCATCTAAAAACTTCTTGAGCCAGGAGTCTCTATCTTTAACTTCGCTTAGTCTTACTCCTATTATTTTTCCAGATGAGTCAGTTGCCATTACACAAGCCCCTCCCTTTATTACATCACTCCAAAAGCTGTCCAGAAAACTGTTTTGCTTCAAACCAACCGACCTGCTTAGTGGCTCATCTGGAAGGAAGTTTTTACCCAGGAGTTGGCAAACTTCGTCAGTTCGGTCGGGTGTCATTACGCTGAACTGAATTGCAGCATCAGCAAAGATGGACATGATCACTGATCAGTGTTGGTCAGTACACTTTTCCACGCTGTCTAGTGATATCACAATATAATCCTGTAATATTAAAATGCTTATTTAGTATAAGCATTTACTTTTAGAGTCATAGTGCCAAAGTATGGCACTCGTAAAAAAGCTACTGTCAAATATGTAGTAGGCTATAGTGTCATATTATGGTATGCAGAGCGAGGAAAAATGTTCAGGGAAAATAAGAAATTTGTGAAACACGCAAATGAAGCAACGTATGTGACCTTCTCCGATTCTTCTTCCTGTTCCATTCGTGATAGAGGGCAAGTGTTGTGATCGAATAAATGGTCTTCGTAACCGAATGAGACCTCTTACATAATAAAACTTCGTACCTAATATGCACCATCATGATATCTTCCGAATCGTTATTTTATAAAAACTATTATCATACATGGCTTCTTCACAGTAATTACTATACCGAAGCAACCAGTCCCATGACTCTAAACGTTTTCGTGATTAAGCCGTTATTTATTCTTAATTTGAAGCATGTTTCAACTCAATCTACAGTCCTTACTTTTTATTGTCTCCCCATATATAGCGTATGGTGTGAATGTATGTAAATTGTAACACAGACCACAGTGTGCACCTTTTAAAATTTCCTCAAAGAGTCTATTACACAAGATTGCTCTGAAAAACCAGTAAATTTCTTTGAAGTTTTGAAACTCTTTCATGGATAAAGGGCACTCAAAATTCTCATTAACTTTTTCAAATGCCGCTTGAATAGACTGCGTACTTATCGTATCTACAGTTCGAAGTATAATTTAAAAGTTGAAGTGCTATGTGAAGACACCGCAGCTAGCCGCGGGGACAGGCTCATGTAGACAGAATAATGTGCATAACAACTTGCATGGGAAGCGGCAAGGACCTCATTAACTATGCTGTGTTGTATCTCCTCTAGAAGATTGAATAAGTTTTCATGCAACTTGTCTCAGTGCTTTTATCTGGTTCATGACATCAGGACCCGATATAATACTACGATAAAGAAACTATTGTTATAGCTTGCGCGGTTTTTCAAGAAAATTCTTAAATTTTAATCAGGAATTTTCTGATTTAAAGAAATTAAAATAAGACTCAATACTCGTGACTAAATCTGATTTTGTGGTTTTTTTATTTTTACTATCGGGCACCATTTTAGGTTTATTTTCGACATGTAAGTTTAATACATTTTCTGTAAGTTGCTTGACTGACAAGATTAATAAAAAAATTGTACTGTAAGAAATTATAAAATAAAATAACATATTTGCAGGATAGATCAGATCAACAATTTGAGAGAAATACAAGCAATGCGACGTCTCTCACCACACGATAACATTGTGGAACTTAAAGAAGTTCTTTTGTAAGTACTCACTCATTATGTATAATTATCCAATTATTATTAGTTATCTGATAACGATATTAACTAACAAGATAGAATCCATCTATTTGAAAGCCGTCACTATCAAATAGATTTTGTTGTTAAATAAGTTAAATCATAACAGGTTAAATTCGTAAAACTCATAGTTTTTTTAACGACAAGGTAGAGGTAATGAAAGCAGGTAATCAGAATAAACCAGGTTTCATTTCCATTAATATAAAACGTTTCTCAGTTCATAATTTAAACTAATGATACTTAACTGATATTTACCGATTTAAGTCGGTTCCTTTGTCTTTAATCATCTGACTTATAAAAATGTGTCTTGTATTCTTGTTTAATTTCATCGCTTGATATCACTTTAATGTTTCTAGGCGATTCAGAATCTACGCTCACTTGATTCAAAGCTCTCCAAATTCACGTGACTCTAAAATTCCACCGAAAACATCGTCTCTATTGTCAAATATCTTGTTGGTCTGCGTGTCTGAACTGCCCCCAATTCCTCCGTTAATAAGCACTGCAGTGGTGGCTGACAGCACGAAAAACACCGCATACACACTCTTCAAACTTCCAGCATTAATTAAAATGTCCACATACGGTCCGTACAGAGTTCCCATGAAAGTAGCCGCGTAAATCACCCCAAACGCAGCCCCTCTAATATACGTAGGGAACATTTCTATAATAATTAATGTCTGTATGTGAAGTATAGCTCCTACCACGACCATTGTGAGAACTGCACTGAGGAGAAGCAGCCAGGTTGTAAAGCATTGCATTTGTGGGATGAGAGTAACGAGAAGGAGCACGAAGAGGAAGTAGAGGGAGACAGAACGAGATCTGTTCCTGACTAGTGTGAAGTGGGAGAGGAGGGACCCTATAAAGAGTGAGAAGTAGATGATGCTGAGGACGAGGTACTGGAAGTGATCACTCTCCTCCCACAGATCAGTCTGCTCCAGATTCAGTACTTGGCCCAGGGAGCAGTAGTCCGCTGCAATCATGATGGGAGAAGAGAAGGTGATCATGGTGATGACGGCTGTGACCATGAAGCCAATAGACATGGTGGCTAGAGTTGCCCCAAAGAACCGGAACATGAGCCCCTTCCAGCTGCCCCGGTCTGAGATAACAGTGCTCTTCAGGTCCTCGCTAAAAGGTGAGGTGAGGTGGGGTTTGTTCCAGGACCTGATACGGGTCAGAACGTAGAGTTGTCCCTGTGTGTAACCTATCATACCGTAGTAACGGGGGCTTTCGTCTATAAGGAAGTAGGTGAAGACGAAGGAGAGGATGTTGGGGATGACTATTAGACCGTAGTGCCATCTCCACCCTGCAACCAGAATAGTTTTAATTGATAATTTCATTTATTATTGTTTATTTTTTGTATTTATTAGGTTTAGATTTCATCTTTCCACGTGTGAAATTATCGTAATTTTGAAAAATTAAACTGCTTAGTATGTACAATCAATTTAATTAGGTTCAGTGCAGTTCACTATCATCTTAATTGCAGCGCTGCTCTGCAGACACTAGAACCTGCAACATATCGCACAGATTCCACAACCAAGCCTAGCTAGTGACGTGATATAACCGTGAAATTGTTATTATAAAAGTTAATCTCGTCACATAATACTGAGATATTATAACACCACGTAATATACACACTACGTGCTACAAGTTAATTTCACCCCACAAGTAGTGGTACCTGTTTCGTGGAAGCAGAAGTAGTTTACAAGGCATATTATCAGGTTTACAAGCCAGGTGAAAGCGTTTATAACCACGGCTGCGTACGATCTGAAACATGTTAAAATATGTTAAAATTATTTGTTAAAATATTTTGCATTCACTCGATATTACAATATAATAATAATGGCTCAACTTGAGTCTTTTCAGAATTAATGTTAATTCAGTTTTATTAGAACACCACAGATAATATCACAAGTAAAATGTTTACATAAAATAGTAGAATTATATCTCATAAATTATCATAATACAGTTTTATTAGTTCTCGTACATTAATTAATAGGATTAGACGAGAGCTTTATCTTGTGTAGTGTTTCTACTTGTCACAACTCTACAGCAAAACTAATTCGTAGCCCACTGTGGGAATATCTAAATTATCAACTAAACATCAACTGGGTAAACTAACTAAATTACATTTTAGTTCATTAATTAAACTGAATTCCAACCTGTGGCTATTAGGAATGTTACCAGGGTGTTACCATGGTTACTGACCTGTGGCTATTAGGAATGCACTCTCCATACAGACAAGTACCGACAACAAGGTTAGCTCCAATAGCAGCTCCTCCTATAACATTACACACTATAAACAGGTAGTACTGGGGGGTTATAGCGCCAATAGTCATAGCTAGCGCAGATAACACAGTACCTGAGGGAGTTTGTTCTTTATAAACACAATTTATAAACCCTATAAACACTCTTTACTCTAAATATATTATTGCATAATCAAAAGTAACATTGCACACTATAAAATACTTGCAGACCATTATATGATGTAGGAACACGGCTCTAGGTTAGTTTTTCAGATCACATCATGCATATTGCATAATTAGCAGAGCATGAGAGCAAGTAAAAACGTCTCGGTTTGCCAATATTTTTCTTAAAAATCTAATCCTGATTCTGCATTCTCTCGTAAATAAAGCATAACTTTCCCTAAACTAAAAGTAGTAGCTAGCAGTTTTAACTAAAAGTAGTAGCTAACTAGTATTAACTAACTAGTATTAACTAACTAGTATTAACTAATTAGTAATATTAACTAATTAGTATTAACTAATTAGTAATATTAACTAATTAGTATTAACTAATTAGTATTAACTAATTAGTATTAACTAACTAGTATTAACTAATTAGTATTAACTAACTAGTATTAACTAATTAGTATTAACTAATTAGTATTAACTAATTAGTATTAACTAACTAGTATTAACTAATTAGTATTAACTAACTAGTATTAACTAATTAGTATTAACTAACTAGTATTAACTAATTAGTATTAACTAACTAGTATTAACTAATTAGTATTAACTAACTAGTATTAACTAAAAGTATTAACTAACCCATCAATAGGATCCTTTTCCTGCCGTATATATCAGCTAGTTTCCCAGCTAAGACCCCGCCTACTATACAGAACACAGCTAATACTGTGTACACCATTCTGTCCTCTAGTAGACTTAGCTTCCAGTACACGTTCTGGTTGCTTACTACTGCTGTACCTGTTAATTATGGGTAATTATACTGTTACAGGTAATTAATTAGAATAATTAGTGATATTTTACAAGTTTTAGTTCTCCTGCAGTTTTGGTTCTCCTGCAGTTTTGGTTGTAAAATGTAAATCTTAGTTTTACTCGATGATAAGAAAATGATGAGAGTCCACTAACATAGGAAGATATGTGAGAAAGCGGCAGTTCTTGCAAGTCCACAACACAACCCTAGTAGGTACTGGTACCTGTAACAGAATATGTCGTAGCGCTCAAAACGTGAAATTTGCTTCAACTGTTAACTTCAAAAAATCGATAATTACTGAGTTAAATTACTATCCAAGCTATCCCATTACCTTCCAATTAATTAATTAATTACCTTCCAAAGCCGTATCTATCGAGGATCTCATTATTAGTGACAGTCCCCCCTCCAACTGGTGGAGAAGGAGCATCTCTTCTCACTAGTAGGAGCTGTTTCTCTTCTCCTTGATACTCCGAACTCAGCTCGGACATGCTGTACTCCTTCATGTTACTGCTGGAGTCATGATTATGCTGTGAAAATGTTATTGTATAGTTATTGTAGTGTTCTTTAGTTATATATCCTATAGTCTTAACACTTTCCTGCATTATGTTACTGTTGCACTATGCTCATGGTAATTTGGTGATAATTACAAATGTAACTTATATCCTTTTAAAAGGAGACCCTCCAATGTTAGAACCAAAATCTCTTTTAAAAATTTCTTTTCGAGACTATTATACACTGGTAGGGATGGTTCTAGCCAACCTAACTGGCATGAGGCTTGAAATAACTTACGGTATTGTAATTTCTACACAACAGCTATCAGCTATGTGTAAAGTGGCCAACGGTGCGGGGGAAGGGTGTCCGAAATGGTTAAATTCTGGCTCACGGTGAATGTTAACCTTATAATGAGATGACCGTACGTAATAGTGAGACGATCTGTTTTGACTTGAGACAGTTATTCTGGGGTTTGGTTAATGCTGAAAGCTGATTGGTTAGATGCGGTCACATGACTAAAGAAGGATATGGTTCACCTCCCACCAGTATCCAGATCTATCATTTAGATATTAAGAATGCATCTTATTTCTGTAGGTTTCGACTTATTAACGTAGATTTGGTAGGGCGTAGGTTTATAAACATAGATAGGTTTATATATTATATATAATATGTATTATATATATATAGTGATCTAACTGATCATTTCGGTCAATGAGACTGCTGTTCGAGTATGATTATTCCACATAACGGCTCGTTGATGATGACTATAATTATGCTCTCTTATAAATCCATGATTAATTAAACAAATTATACGCTTTTGCGTTTAAATTGCTTCACAAGGCAGCCTTTTAAATTTTAAAGATCCGTATTCCGTATTAATAATGGTCAAATCAAGGACAATTTAATAATCAAGCTGTCGTGTAATCAGTGTCATGTGGAAATGTCGCATGAACAACAAAAACTTGATCATATCCTCAGGATTTTACAGGATCAACCATCAAGCAATACAAGATTGATATTTAAATAAAGATACAATTGAGATTTATTAAAAGCTAGCACAACGACAAGTAATACATGCCACATAAAATACAGGGATAGCAAGGGAAAGATGAGGCACGCATGATATGTCATGCTATAACAGGTACAAGGTAGGAAACAGCTTATTACTTCATCGCCACGTATCTATTTAGTTAGAGGTTTAATTAGAGGTTGTTAGAGGTTGTAAAAGTATTTATAATTAGAAGTTGCTATACCTATGAAAGAACTTCACGAAATCTAACAAATTGTTACGTTTACATACATATCGACCTATTTATTGACATTATGACAACTGTTTAACTGTTAAACTTAAACAACAAAATGACAGCGGATGTAGGCTGCGACATATCCACGAATATACCATGATATGATTTTAAAACGAGCGCACCTGAACGTAAACAAACGCCACAAGTTGCCACAAATCATAACTAACGTCGATCTTATAATGCTGTGATCTGTGATGTGTTGATCTGATGTGTTATAGAATACTATAATATGGGAGATTAGTCTTCAATTAGTCTAATATTTGTGTGAATAGTCTAATATTTGTGTGAATAGTGTAATAACAGTGTGAATAGTGTGGTAGATTATTAGTGAGGTGCACATAATAATGGTGCATTATTTTAACTATGTGTGTCAAATGAGAGTCAGGTGGTATTACGGGTGGTATGTGTGAAGGAGCTCTCGTATTGCAGAATTACAATCTATTTTACTCTGATTGTCAGAGTTAATGTTTAGCTGAAATTGTATAGTCCATGCTTCCATGAATGGCAGAAAATTTAAGATCGTTGTATTTTATTAAAATTTAGCGAACTAACATTTATGATTTTATGTAGCATTTTGCATATATTTTTAGATCGAACTTATCTCGACAATGTCGATTCGAGTTGAATCCAAAACTTTTCACATTATTAATTCAACAAATCCATTAAAATCAAACTTAAAACTGACACAGTACTAGCGAAACAAGAGGAACCGCTAAAATACAAGACACAAATATAAGGAACAAAATAGTTAAAAGTGCAAAGTATTCAGGACAACAACTACTTTTCTCAGAAATCACACCATTCTAACTATCACAACTATGCCTTGGAAAATTGGATAAATTCCTGAAATCATATTATCAAAGCACTACCTAGTTTCAAGAGATATCTAGGAGGTAAAAGCACGTCCGGACGTGAGCGCTGAATTTACAGCGGGTTCCTTGGTAATCTTATTTATTCGTAGAATGAACATGATTTCAGCCCGGCTGAAGAAACAACATTGCAGAATAGAATACCTATAATCATGGAATTAAAGAGTGTATTTGGGATACATGTTTAGTCAGGTTTTGTAGTGCAATAAATGCTTCCAGTGCTCACTATCCAGCTGCAATTCTCGTTTGTAAACACAAGTAGACCCGGTACACCTCATTGTTACAAATAACTCATTAAACTTGAACATTTCACCTCCAGAACAATGACCATTCTTTAGATTCATCAGTTCATTCCTTCTTTACCCATTATTATAACTAAATGTGTGGGGTATCCGATACCTCTAAATCAGTGCACTCATTGTGAAACCCCCATAATCCTAACATATCAAATATCCCTGAATCTTATCTACTGTGCGTCTCCTGGTCACCCTGGTAACGCATTCCAAGTGTTAGAACACTGAAAATATACCACAACACATTACATGATATACCAATACCTTTACATTACGAATGACGGAGAGAGAGAGAGAGAGAGAAAGAGAGCAATTAATGGGTTGCCATGGCAACAATCCTCCACTTAACTCCGCTAATGGCAGGTAGGAGGGAGTGTTCTACTTTGTGCTGGTTGAGAATAAGTGGAGAGTAAGTTAGGGAAGGTAGTTAGGAGTACATTAAGTAAGGTGTGGAAGATAAGGGTTTAATTGCGAGCAGGTAAACAGTGTAAACAGGGGGATGTAGTAGTGTCGTTAGTCATTATTACGTCGGTGATTTAGTTTGGAAAATGTGGGGTTTTAGTAGAATGAAGGTACATTGTATGGTTATTGGGGCTGCAGTACACACTTGAAAAGATATGGTATTGGGAGGCTGAAACATTTCTGACTAAAAGCTTTCAGATCGATTTAATTTTTAGAAAACCGTCTGACATCGAGAAACTCCCACCAAATTCCTCGAATCACTGTTGTGAGAGGAAAATACATTCCCTACATTGGCGCATACCAAGAACTATGTATGAAGTGAACTTATCATGCATTGAAAATTTGTTACCGAGAATTACTAAACAACGTGTCACATTGAGAGATTTCCATTGAGAAGAAAACTAGCTTATAATAAACTAATAAAGCAATTATTACCATGTACATCTGCATCTATTCGTTTACCATAGTTATAATAGATCCCTTTTATCAAGAACCTCATCACTAGCAAAAGAGAGAAACTCAAAATAAAAGAAGAAAGGTGAAATCGTAACGCCCACATGAAAAAAGGAATTGTGTAAAGCGATAATAACAATCGTTCGTGTTAATTGCAATTAACTGCACAGTTATTTACTGAAGTGAAACAATCCAAGATCAGTAAATATAGTTTATGGAACCATCATTTACCAACAAATCTAAAACAGTGTTATTTACAGTCCCATCACACTTACAGAACTTACAGAACTTAAACAGAACTTACAGAACTGACAGAACTAACCGAACTTTTTAAAGGTGTTTCTTTGAAATGGTTTGAGAAACTTACACTCTCATTATACTCCTCAAATCACGTTACAATTTAGAATCTATTCCTGAATGTTGGAAATTTCTCAGAAAATAGTAGGTTTTTATTTGTGCTTTCCAATCAGGTCTGCGGTCATGTTAATGCTATAAAAAATTTAAAAACTTGCAAACACCACTCACTAGTTTAAAGTCATTCAATAGAAACTGTAACGTAGTTTTTCCAGTGATATAGAAGTGAGGATCAGAAAAAGAGACTGTGTTTACCCCTTCACAATGTGTAATTTATTTTGAGGCTAATGTTTGTTATAATTAACTTATTAAAGGTATTAATGTTATCACCTTTTGTAAATTTAACGTTTTAACAAAACCACAGCTGGTGTAGATTGTAGAATGTAGATGTGTAGAATCTAGATGCTGTAACAACATTACATTTTCTGGACATATTTGTTGGATAGCTTCACGTGGCTGCGCTAACAACTGTAACAACCTTTGTAACTGGATGAAGCGTATTTTGTAACTTTGTAATTGGATGAAACGTATTTTGTAACTTAACTCAAGAGTATGATGAATATGTTATCGCTTGCATACATTTGCAATAAGCCTAATGAAGTAGAGCGATCATGTTATGACCAGTTACTTGTATGTTGTAACTAATTATTTATTATTGGACATTATTCGTGCAATTATTGAATCAGTACCCTGTACCACCCAACCGGATCTTTATGGCCACATAATAAAGCATTTTCGCGTGCAATTTTAAGTTTATGTCACATGATATGTTAGCAGTGAGTGTAATAATTTGTCGACTACAAGGCCCACCCCTTTGGCTTGTCTATAGTAAATATTGTCCTGTGTCCACATATTGTAGCTCAGACATTTGACTGGAGGGGCCTTCTAAAAATAGGTTATACAGATCAGTACGCTTTAGACAAATAATATTGTGAGAAAACACCCTTATTTCGTGGATCCTTCGTTTCGCGGATCGAATCGCAGTAAGATTCTTCGATATCTGAGTTAAAGTTGAAAACTTCTGAAATAATCGTGAGAATTAGTATAACATTTACTGTACCCGGACCCTGATTTACCGTACCTCTTCCCGTCTCTTTCCCCAGAAATTTTGTAAAAAGTCTACATTTTCTAGTTTGATATCACGTGATCCTTTGAAATACGGGTTATGAATAGGTCCCTGATGAGTGAGGAGTGATGTCAAGCCTACTAGCGTAGCCACATCAACCATCTAAATCAAAAGATCACCAACCTGGCCTAATTTCTCGGTAGCTCTGACAGGTTCCACTGGGACATGGCGTGTATTGGTCTCCCTCGCAGCACACACTGTCTCTCTGAAT